AATGGAAAATATGAAAGAGAAGATAAGAGACAGAAATGGTAGAACAGAAACCTCAAGAGGATTTCGAAAAGGAGAGAATAAAAATGGGAGCAGGACAATTTGGACAGATAAGGCTTGAGGACTTTCCAGATTAAAGAAAGACATGGTCTCCAACTGAAGGAACATGGCAAGTCCCAGGAAAGATATAAAAACAAAACACATCTCTACAGTCATAAATAAATTACAGACAATCAAAGAGAAAATCTGAAGAGAGAAAGAAAAGACAGATTACATATACTAGAATGGCAATCGATTTAAAAGAAGAATTCTCAGCATCAGCAGCAAGAAACAATAGAATAATATCTTCAGAGGTGAAAGAAAATATTTTCAAATCAAGATTATATAAAGAACTAAACTATTATTCAGTAATAAAAGTGAAATAAATCGTTTTCAGTCAAAGATTGAGAGATTGTACCGCTTGCAGGCTGCAATGATTAATTTTATGTGTCAATTTGGCTAGATCATAGTACCCATATTTGATCGAATATTATTTAGATGTGTCTCTGAGGGTATTTGTTAGATAAGGTTAACACCTAACATTTAAATTAGCAGACTTTAAGTCAAGCAAATTATGCTCCCTAATGTGGGTGGGTGTCACCCAAAGCAAAGTCCTTAACAGAAAAAAATTGCCCCCCCCCCAAAAGTGAGGGAATTCTGCCAGCGTCTCCTAGGTTCCCAGCTAGCCAGGCTGCTCTGCGGGTTCCGGACTGCCCACCTGCAAACCACATGAGCCGATTCCTTAAAACCTCTCTCTCTCTCTCTCTCTCTCTCTCTCTCTCTCTCTTTCTGCCCCACTGCCACACTGGTCTTACTTGTCTGGAGAATCCTGACAAATACACAGATTTACACTAAAAATTCATCTATTAAAAGTTATAGTTTGATAAGAAAAGCCCAGAAGAAAGGGGTGGATTACAAGAAAAAATAGTAAGCAAAAAAAAAAATTGGTAACATGCTGGCAAATATAAATAAATATTAACTGTTTATAAATGGGGACACTGAATACTAGATACCAATACATGGAAAATGGGAAGGAGGTCATCAGAGTCTTAGGTCTTTATATTATTAACAACCTTAGAATCATTAAGTAAGCACTTAACAATGTAGAGATAGCGACTAAAAGAACAAGTTTTTAATTGCTTCTAAAAGACTAGAGGGAGGACAGTGTAGAAAAATAAATAAATAAAAAATAAAAGAGACTAGAAAAGTGAATAAATGAAAACTTAAACTAAGGCAGAAAAAGAGAACTAAAGCAAAGAAAAAGAAAGGAAAAAGAATTTTAAAGCACCAACGTATTAACAATAATAATTAAAAAATCAATAACTTCAATAATTGTCAACACTAAATTTGCTTTTTAAAACACAGAGACTCCCAGATTGGGTAAAACATAAACCAAGCATGGATAGACCTTAGACATATAATGTTAAGTAAAAACAGCAAGTTTCAGAAAAAGGATAAACCCTAATGTAATTTTTTAAAACTCACAAAGCAATTTTATGTGTAGTATAAATACATTCATATGTAGTAGAAGTACAAAAATATGAACACACATGTACTTCAGATAGTGACTGCCTCTGGGGAAGGTAGAAATGGGATTTGAGAAGAGGGTAAAAAAGAAAAACACTGTATCTTATGTAAAACAGGGTCTTCCCTGGCGCCTAGAGAAGACAAGACACAGGGTTCCCATCTCTTCATCAGCCCACAAAAAGGTGTGAGTCTACATCTGGGTCTACAGGCTAGTGGGGGGACATTACTCTCCTGTTCCTGTTTTTCTACCTTTTTGTCGAGCAAGCCCGAGAAAACTGCCTTGTCAGTGAAGGTATTCACAGACTGACAAGTGCCGGGTCTCCTAGAGTGGTCTGGGAAAATCAGCCCTTCACTTGAAGACCCTGGACCCTGTGGAAGATTGCCATCCTGCTGCCAGTGCCACGGGAAGTGGAGCCTCTCCCTTCAACAGGGAAAAAGAGATGCCCCTGATCTCAGCTGGACTGTTGCCTGAGCAGCCCAGAGTGATTCCAAGGTCATTTTCAGAAAACACAGCTCACTGCACCATGGCATCTGTAACGTTTGCTCTCTTTTAACAGCCGAGCAGATCTAAAGCAATGACCACAAAATACTACCAGTTGTTACATCTGAGTGGCTTGTACGTGAATATTGTACTACCTTCTATGTGGCGTTGGAGAGAAGATGTATAAAGTAACATCCGAAAGCCCCTTCCCTATCCTCCAACCCCACTGTTTCTCTTCACTGTAATCGCCACTGAGATTCCGGGGTGTGTTTCTCCAAGCCATATTGTTCCATGGATTAAAATAGGCACACATACAAATGTAGAGCTTGTGTGTTTGGTGGAGGAGGGTCGTTCTTGCTGTCGTCTCGAGTTTTGATAATGAAATTTTCTCTTTTGTTTTTACTTCAAGTTCCAGAGATTCTGGATTGCTTTATACTGTGTTGCTTTGTATTGTGGCCTTTTGTGACCATGACAGAATGAGAATTAGTCTCTCCTAACAAGTAATAACATACGAAAAAGCCAAAGTCTAATTCATACAATGTAAAAAGATAGCTACAAAATTTATTCCTTGGGGATTGCTAGATAATCTGTCCCTTGGTTTTCATATAATCCTTTAGAAGTCAAAAATACTCTTTAAAAGTTTTTAATTTTTTTCCTCCACATAGAACCAGTTTTGATCAAATATAAGAAATTAGGTTTTATGACCAACTTGCTTTCCAAACCCTGACCTTTTTTTAAATCTCTGCCAAAGGAAGAGAGTGTGGTGAGCAGGCACACTCACTCACTCGCCCTTGATGAGCGAGTGAATCTTAATCTCTTAACCTCTTTCTTAATCTTCTCGTTCGTTTTGCTTTCTCCAACACTGAGGACAAGAAAATGCTCCTTTTGTCATTAGTTGAAGCACTAATCCACAATCTTTTTATCTATTCCTTTTTAGCTGCTTCTAGAATGTATTCTCCCTTCCCCTCATTATAGAGGGACAAAATAAAATACCTCATTTACATATATTAAAAGTAATTTTTATTTATACCACAATCCCCAAATTTTCAGTCAAGTTTTTTTTTCAAAGGAATCTCCACTCACCCCTCCCTTCTCCTTGCAAGGCCACTGTTTGATCCAGTTACATTTTTATATGAAAAACATTTTAAGCGGCTCCAGTTGCTGATTTTACAAAGAATAAAAACAGAACTGATCGGAGCATTTGGCAAGAACCCTGAGACCCGAGCAGCAAGCCGCTGATATATTCCTGCTGCAGAAGTGATTTGTTTTGTTTTATGAACTTGTACAAGCAACTCTTTCTTTTTCAGCACAAATGTAGTTGCGAAAGGGAAAAAGACCAGCACACCAGGGGGGAGAACAACTTTCTTAAAAATATGTTTTATGTCAGTATCTAAATTACATAGAGCAGGCTTAACGCGCTCTCTTTTTCTTTCGTTCATGAACTCTCTTCTGAAGGTGGGTGTGAAATAATCTTTTTGCTTTTGTTTCTGGATTGGCTTTGATGAGTCAGATATTAAATATGACTGGTTCAGATGTCACATATCGATGCAGGGCATAAGCGTCACCATTTAGATGGAGAATAATTGGATTCATATCTGTGTTATGTTTTCAAATTGCTGGGTCACTTCTGGGTCTCCTGCTATAAATTCTTCATAGCAAGCCCAAGTAAAAGGAATGTGACAGATTTAATACCTAGAATAAGTTATTAACTGTAAGGACGCAAGAAACAGTGGCACTGCTGAGCAGAGAACATTACACTGCTCATAATTCTGTAAGTGAAAATTAAAGCGCTTTTTTTTCTTCATTGCAGTGAATTATTTTTCTTCATTAACTCTCTTGCTTTACTCAAGTAAGTTCTTTATGTTTGATCTAATGTAAAACAATGACTTTTATTTGGCCATTTAATTTATGAATGTTTAAACTCTAACGCCCAAGTGTGAGAGAACAGATTTGATAAGAGAAGGGAGTTATTTATGTTTCACTTCCCAACAGGCCAAGTGACTACTGTTGACTGCAACATGGTCTTTCAAGACAATATCTCAGCCAAATCCCATTATTAGGACTCCATGAAATATATTTTTTTCTTTTTTTGTTTTTGTCATAGTGTGTTTGTCTTTGTGTTATGGCCAAAAGGAAAGAGAATTGAAATCTAGCCCCATTCATTAATTTCAAAATTATTTAAAAAAAAAAAAAAGGAAAGGAAAAGAAAAGAAGCCAGGAGTGAACAGGACTGGCGTTCTCCACATCTCCCTCCAGGCGGCGGCATGGTTAGTGGAGGCTGGCGCGGGCAGGGAGCTGGAGTGGCAGAGCATCGGCAGTGACTGGCTGTGCCTGTGTTGCCAGGTCATCCCCACCCCAAGAAAACTCTCCTTTTCTACAGCACTTTCCTCATACAAGCCAAGAATGAACAGAGAAATTCAACATCACCATGACATTCACTCGGCCATTTGTTTTATTAACAGTGACTGATTACCTCCAATACAAAAAGCCAGTCCCTGCTCATAAATACAATGGGATATACTATAAGTTAGGCAAGAGTTTCTCAAACTTGACTCATTCAACACCACTTTCTCTATTACATGGCACACACTTCTATAGGCACTGTTCCACATATTTTATGAGTAGCAGCCCATTTAATCCTCATAATAGCCCAGTGTCCTCTTTTATTACAGATGAAGAAACTAAGGCTCAAAGATATTAAGTAACTTGCCCAAGGCCACACCTTCACGAATTTCACCATATCTACATTCATACATTATTTATCCACTGATTTTCTTTAAGTGATTCACTTTTTTCCTCCTTAAATAAAAGTGTATTTTATGGCTGGGCATGGTGGCTCACGCCTGTAATCCTGGCACTCTAAGAGGCCAAGGCAGGAGGATTGCTCGAGGTCAGGAGTTCAAGACCAGCCTGAGCAAGAGCTAGACCCCGTCTCTACTAAAAAACAAAACATTACCTGAGTGTCATGATGGGTACCTGGAGGCCCAGCTACTCGGGAGGCTGAGGCAGGAGGATCCCTTGAGCCCAGAAGTCTGAGGTTGCTATGAGCTACGATGACGCCACTGCACTCTACAGAGTGAGAGATTCTGCCTCAAAAAAGTAAAAAAGAAAAAGAAATCTTATCACTGTCATGAAGGGAAAACAAGCATTACCATGAGTTTAGTGATAATTATATCTTCAAATATACATTAAAATAAATACCACTTCACATCACTAGGATGGCTATAGTCAATAAAATGGAAAATATCCAGTGTTGGTGAGGATATGGAGAAATTGTAAACCTCATACACTGTTAACGGGAACATAAAACGGGTGGCTACTATGGAAAACAGCTTGGTGGTTCCACAAAAAGTTAGACATGGAGTTATTATTACATGTGAGCCAGCAATCCTACATCTAGGTATATTACTCAAAAGATTTGAAAATAAGAACTTAAACAGATACTGTACATGGATGTTCATAGCAGCATGATTCATAATGACCAAAAAAGTATAAACAACCCAAATGTCCATCAACTGCTGAAGGGATAAACAAAATGTGGTATATCCACACAATGGAATATTATTTGACCATAAAAAGGAATAAAATACTAACACAGGATACAAAATAGATGAACCTTGAAAACATTATGCTAAGCAAAAGCAGCCAGACACAAAAGGCCATATATTGTATGCTTCCATTTATAAGAAATATTCAGAATAAGTAAATCTATAGAGATGGAAAGTAGACTAGCGGTTGTCAGAAGACAGGGGAGAGGAGAATGGAAGTGACTGCTTAATGTATACAGGATTTCTTTTGGAAGTAATGAAATGTTCTGGAATTAGATAGTAGTGATCCATGTTCAGTTTTATGAATATAATAAAAAACACATGCATGCTTTAAAAGGGTGAACTGGATGGTATGTGAATTATATCTCAATAAAGCTGTTATTTTTAAAAAAGCAAATAATAGAAAAAAATTTTTAAAGATGCTTCAGGAATACTGCAAATATTTTATTTCATTTGTAAGGCAACTACTTTTCTTTGTGAATAAGAATTTTCCAGAATATTATACCCCAGAAACAAAACATAGAAAAAATGAGAGGAGAGGCCAGTTTAAAAAAATATACACACATTACACTTTAAAAAATATGTTTGTGTTCCATCTAAAATAATTTTGTATATGCTACCAAAATTTTGTATATAATTCTGTATATACAAAATAATTTTGTATATAGTACTACTCAGCAAGCCTGAGTTGAGGCCTAGTTCTATCACTTACTAACCATCTAGAATGGGAAAACTCCCTCATTCCTGCTGCTAAACCTCAATTGCTTCATCTGTAAAATGAGGATAATTCCTGAGGGTGGCAGCATCAGGGAAGCCTGGGTTATTAACTTGACATAGTAACATTTCTTGAGTTCCTATTATATGCTAGCTAGGCAGTATGCTGGAAACATTATGTGTAATTTTATTAAATACAAAATCTTCATGGTCCAATTTAAACATAATAACCAGTGGATAGCATTCGCCATGCACAATTCCTCTAGGTGCCATTGAAAACCTAATGTCTTCTAATGTCACACGTCCTAAAGAAGTTATTGATGCAGAAGCATCAACTTCTTCAAATTCCTTAAATTCAGATTCTGTTGACTGACAGATCACACTTTGTTTTTAAAATCTTAAAACATCAACTTACGGTGAAGTAAAAAGACTATGTTATTCTAGTCTCTAGCGAAAGTGTGCCCAAAAATTACTTATATTTTATTTATATTTATTTATGTTTTACCAGTTGCTGGTTTCTTGCCTATGCCATCAAAAGCATTACATCTCAGAATGCTGAAAGAATTTGCCCAAAAGTCAATAAAATTTGCTAAAAAGAAAAGATAAATAAAGTACAGAAACCATCACTCAACTCTTAATTGACACTGGGGTCTTGGTGTAACCTATTGGCGTCTTAGAGGCCCACTCATGTACAATAGCATTCATTAACTAAAAATAAATTTCCAAGGTGCAGATTCAGTGACAATAATAATAAACAAATGCCAAATTACTAAAATATATTATACCCTCGCACCAGCAATCGAAATGAGCTTGGAGTCTCCGAAAGTCCATGTGGCAATAAAAGTATGGCCCCCAACTGGATCAGAAACGTGAGTGTGAAAACGCTTTTTCTTTTAAAGAGTCTATATAGCATGTCCTGAAGTAATAATTCACATATTAAACATGCTATGACTCCTATCTCTTAGTCTCGTGTGTGATTGAGTGCTTAGGGACCTACCTCACAGGGAGATGCTATGTCAGCCAGTCAACTTTGCAAAGCAATCAAGGTTACTAAAACAGACTATGTTTATAAGACAAGGTCAAAAAGAACTTAAACAACTCTTAGTGCATCTGAGTTAATCCCTGATTTAATTTTTTCAAATGTTCCCAGTCTGTCCTTAATTATTTCTATTCAACTCAACCTTTACAAGTTCAGAGCCAAGTAGGGAGAATTGGACCCAGGGGTTTTACATTTTCATTAAAAGCCAGAGGTAACATTTAACTAACTTGAATTGTGGGTGGCAGTTCAGTTCATGATTCTTCAGAGGAAATTTGACTGAACACATGGAGCTGGGCTGTGCAACAAGATCACTATTTGCTTTGCAAGTAAGAGCATGTAAAATGGTATTTGGCAAGCATTCACTAAAACCCCTTACATTGTTCCACAGCTGAATTATTGTCCTTCCTGCTACCTTTCAGTTACCAAAATAAAAAGATTAGATTCATGACACTTAAAAAAAAGTGCAGATGCAAGTTCTGTTAGTAGTAACTGTTTGTAACAAACTTCCATTTCTATTAGCCGAGTTAAGACAGTGCTATCTTCCTACACATATTCTGTGAGCCCAATAAATGCTCTCTGACAATTCTGAGCTCTAACTTATATATGGGTGTGAATATATGCAAATATATAAATTGACAAGTTACTAAATGTCTGTTTACGTGTTTCCACATAAATAACACAAGTGCCTAAAATGTAAAGCTGTATAGAAATAGATATAGAGATATATAAAGACATCAAATTATAATCAAATTAGAAAAGTATAAAAGTGTATGTGTTTTATAGTATACACATTAATGGGGGAAACATTCTACTTCAAATTTTAAATAATGGCTAAAAACTTAGAAAATATAATCTGCTTTCAATTATAAAATAATGAATATATTTATTATTCAACCTATGGAGATACACACTCACATATTTCATTACTGGTCTTATATTAGATTTGTAATTTTCTGTAAATTGAACCAACAAAGAAAAATAACTAACAGGGGCTCCCAGGAAAATTTTTCTTTACTTAAATTTTTTTAAAATTAGAGATTTAGAAGTTCTTTATGAAAAAATACAAAGAAAATAAAAATACATAAGTGGGCGGAGGATCAAGATGGCAGACGAGAAACACTGCCAGTCAGAGTATCTCTGCAGAAAAGACAGATTCTAGCAGAAATTAGAAAAAAGAAGCAAGAAGACGAGCATACAGCGGACGAGGGCCGAAAGGAGGGGTACCTGAGACCCCGGGAGACTCCACGGGAGGAGGCTGCGGAGGAAAACTGGAAGCTGAGACCACTGGAGCAGCCCGGAGACCAGCGGCAAGGGTAGGTGGATTTGCTGTTTCCGCTCCCCTGCATTTGGGACTGCTGGTGGGCTCCCCAGCGGGTGGAGAGACCTGCGGACTTCAGCCCAGAGACGGCTGCCACCGGCCAGCGGTGAGCCTGTAGCAGACACGGCACCAGGCTCCCAACTCCCTCCTGGCACCTCCGTGTGCACAGACCCGAGCCCCGTGGCAGGCGCCATATTGCCTCCTCCTCCCCTCTGCCCCCCTACCTGCAGCTGCCCAGAGAGACAATACAGCCACCAGCCGGAGGCACCTCCAGGAAACAGGACCTTCCCTTTTGGGACCCTACACTGAGGAACTCAGTGGGACCCTGACTCAGAGGAACTCAGACTGTGAGCTCCCTACCCACCAGCCCTCCCAGCTGCTGCTGGCACGGTGTTCCCAGGAGAACGGTGCCGACTCAGAGGCTGAGAGACACAGACACAGCTTGGGCTCCCTGTGGGTGAATTGCCGCGACCACGAACTCCTCTCCCTGGTGGATACAGTTTGAACTCTGGGACCCAGAGGTCGGACCTGCAGACCAGACCCTGTACCGAGGGCTAGCATTGCCGGGCACAGAGGGTTATATGTGAGCAGCCTACTGAGGTTGGTGTGCCTTCAGGGGCAGATCGCGTCCTAGAGGGCAACCCTCCTCCCAAAAGGAGCCATAACCAGCCCAGGTGGCTTCCTGCACAGGGAACTCCCCGCCCGACATCACGTCCAGGGAGGCTGGTGCTTGTGGTCTGGCCTGCTGCAGAGGCCCAGGAGTAGCTGCGGAGTTGGGGAGGGTGAAGAAGCGAGCCGCTCCAGACTGCGGGGTCTCAGACAGCCCACCCCCACACCCAGACTTTCTGGCTGAGCGGGACCATTCCAGCCCCGCCCTGACAGCTTTTCCTGGAAGCAGAGAACAGAACTTTGACCCCTGCTAACGACATTGGTGGTGCTGAGGGCAGGCTACCAACCCAGCTCCGCCAGAACAAGAGCTGATAACAGGACACAAAATCAACAGCATAGCCTGTTCTCCAAGCAAGCGCCACCTACTGACAGGACGGCATCCTGCACAGCCTTTTCATGCACCCACTGATCAATATACAGGGATGTGGTCGAATCTCACCCACGACACCCTAACAGCAGAAACTAAACAAGGTGTGTGAATACCAAACAAAAACCTAAAGGAAAGAACAACAACGGATTGACATGGGAAGAAATCAGCGAGAAGAACTCAGGAAATATGAAGAGCAAACAGAAAACACACCCCAAAGAGGAGCACCACCCTAGAAATGGACACCAACCCAAATCAGGCAACCATATAGACAGAAGGAGAATTTCGTATGTGGATCATAAGAACACTACCGACCTGCAACAACAAACTCAATAACCAACACAAGAACACAAAAAGCTCCAGGATATGGAACAAAGGTTCACTAAAGAGATCGACA